TTGACGGTTCAAGTGGCTACGTCCTGGACCAAGAACCGGCAATCGATTTGATGTTGAGAGACTTCGGTATGGAGTCGTCGAACGGGGTACGCACACCTATCGGAGACGAGTGCAACATGGACGCCGAAGACGACGCTGCGTACTTACCAGCACGAGGAGCGAAAGGCGACCCGAGTATGAAGTCATTTCAGTCACTGGTGGGTAGTCTGCTATGGATAGCGAGATGCACGCGTCCAGACATCTTCTCTGCCGTGCACAAGGCGACAAGGAGAACGCACAAGCCGACTCTCCGAGATTGGAAGACCGCGAAGCGCATCTTGCGATATCTAAAGATGTCCAAGAATTTGAAGCTGCACTTGGACGGTGATCGGCTTACATCAGAAGATATTCGGGTCGAATGCTGGAGCGACGCTGACTTTGCTGCGGATAAGGCCGATCGTAAGTCAATCTCGGGAAGGCACTGACTGTGAATGGTGCTGTGATTATGTGGTTGTGCAAGAAGCAATCAGGCATATCGTTGAGCAAGATGGATGCCGAGTTTATCTCTGCCTCACAAGCTGGCCGGGAGTTGCTTGACACGAAGGAACTGCTGTGCGAGCTGAAGCTACAAGTGCGTGAGCCGATGCCGATGTGGATCGACAATCAAGCGGCGATCAAACAGCTCGAATCAGAGAAAAGTACCTCGAGCGCCAAGCACGTAGACATACGTTTTAAGTTCATTTGTCATCACACCCAGGAAGGGACTGCGGTGCCTCGATTCGTGCGGTCAGAGGACTTGGTGGCCGACATACTGACGAAGTCGTTGCCGGCACCCAGGATGGAAGAGTTGAGAGCCATGCTCAAGTTGAAGGCCACACAGGCTAACACCGAGGGGGAGTGTAAGAAACTATCCTATTTGACAGGTTTCTAGGTTCAAGTATTTTACCATGGTACGGTGTCACCTGATTGGCTGGTCGCCATGTGACAGGGTGACACGTGGGACCACGAGGGACGGTCGCCATGTGACAGGGTGACACATGGGACCGCGAGAGACGGTCGCCATGTGACAGGTTGACACATGGGACTGCGAGAGACGGACGTCACATGTGACTTGTTATAGTCAAGTTGCAGTTTCGTTTTGTCTGGTCATACATATCGTAGTGTTGAGGAAGGTCATGCTAAACACTCAATATATTTCACTTTTACTTCCACCTACTTTGCACCAAGTGCACTACTACGCTCTAACAGGTTTGGCCTCCATCAAGTTGCTACGATCTCAGTTGGTATGCATTGCAAAGACCAAGTCGATATAGTTTATGTGGCTGTGAGTATGTGAATATTCGAATGGGGAAATAATACATCTTATGGTGCAGTCTTTTTCTTCCGTGACAATTCAAGTGCATATTATGATTTTTAAACGTTCGGTGCATTATGAAATTTCGTAGCTACAATATTTTAGAACATATTACAATTCTCTCATCTTATGGTGCATTTCTCAAGTTTCGTGATTATTGGGATTGTTTTCATTATCTCCAGCTACAATGCAAACTTTCTGTACTTACCGCAAACCCGCCGTGTCGATGACATGTGGTTGTAGATGGTAACACTTTCGAGTGATATATTGCCAATCGAACCTCATTGGCGTAACAGAATGCATGCCATGAAGAAATCCCTCGCAGTTGGTCTGCCGATCACCTTACAACATACCCATAAGATCATCAATGGCCTCGTGTCAGAAGAAAGTAAACACCTACTCGCGTATTTGTCACCAACAATGGAGAACAACGCTGTGATGTCACGTCCGGCCGGCATTTCGGCGCTGCAGACGGATGACAAACCCGGCCCGTGGCTTGCAGAGGGGCTCGAGTCTAATGTAGTGAAATGGAGAATGAATATATTGAGGAGGAGTGTTAAACTTGGTAGGCTAGTCTGGTGTCATCATATCCAGTCTGGCGCAATCTTCTTTCGTCTGGCGCAATCTTCTTTCGTCTGGCGCAATCCAAGGATGGTCTCGCAGGTCATATCGATAGACAACCCATGTCATACTCCCCCCATGATCTGTGAGATTTAGCACGGAAAAATGCGGCGGATGCTCACACGTTCTGCCATTGCTCCCTTGTCGATGGTCACAGTGCCGTTGCTGTGAACTTGGCGGATAACAAAAGGTCCGGTTGCCACTGCGTGCAATTTTGCACGGAACTTCTTGGGGACGCGTAACATCACGTGGTCTCCCGTATTGTAGAAATGCTCGAGGCGTTTGCTATTCTCGCGGTCATTGTCGGCGAGAATTGCATCAAAACGACGCTTCGATAGATAGCTCCAGTTGGCGTTATAAAGCTGACGAGTGGTCATATCTTGACCGAAGAGTAGTTGACCTGGGGAAGCATTAAGAATGCTGTGGTAGCTTGCTCGCACGGCGAATGCAGCGTAGTGAATGGTTTTCTTCCAGTCAGCGCCATCGTGGCACCTGATGACATTTAAAATCTCGAGGTGAACGCGTTCACAAATAGCGTTAGCTTGAGGGTTCTTGCTTGTTATAGGCTTGGCTTGTATCCCGTAGCTGCGGAGCAATTCTTGAAACTCGTCACCAGTGAATTCCGTTCCTAGGTCGTGTATAACCGTTACAGGACGCGGGTAGCGGCACAGCCATTCACGATCGAAGCTTTCGGCTGTGGTCAGCGAAGTTTTGTCGTGCTGAATACCCACTTCCAGCCAACGCGTCGCATGGTCAATCATGGTAATACCGTAGTGTCCGTCTTCGTAGGGACCAATGAGATCGACATGAACGGTGTCAAAGGGGTTCACCGTCTTGAGTGTTCGTGGTGGTAGTAATCCATAGTCCTGCTTGCCTCCGTGGACCTTTGCCTTCTTGCAAGTTAGACAATCTTTCGCATTCTTGGTGATCGCGGATTCCATTCCGGGCCAGTAGAGAACCTGCCTCATTGTCTTGTACTGTCGTTCACCGCCAGGGTGACTGAGCGTTAAGTGATACCAACGAATGAGATCTTCTCGCAAGCTATCGGGCACGATGACGCGCTTGTGGTACGCGACCAGCGTGCAGCCGAGTAGAGGTATAGGCTGATAGTCAGGATTGTTGTTGCCGTTGAGGCAAGCTGTCTTGATTTTTTGAATCATCAAGTCCTTATCTTGATGTTCGCGAAGAACCGGACCATGCATGACACAATCTGGTTCATCAGCGGTAGCGCATATCTCGTCCGCGAGCTGCAAATGAGTCTTCGTGTTAATCGCATCGAATCTCATCCGGGAAAACGCATCAGCACCAACATTCTTGGTTCCCTTGATGTAATGCATCGATAGCCTGTACTCAGCCAACAGGAGCTTCCAGCGCTTAACGCGCAGGCTGGTTTCGGTCGGATAAATTAGGTTCTTATGGTCGGTGTGAACAACCACAGGGAACCCGAGCAGCATGGTGCGGTATTCGCGCAGCATTTCAACGATAGAGAGTAGCTCAAGCTCCATCGTTGTGTAATTCACTTGATGCTTGTTGAGACTTCGGGAATAGCAGGCGAGAATCTTGTTCTTCTGCATAATGATGCCACCGATTTGCTTTCCGCTGGCATCGGCGTAGACGTGAAATGGTTGCTCAAAGTCAGGAAACGCGAGCAGTACGGCTTGGGCAAACGCTTTCTGGATAGCGTGAAATGCTTCCGTGTCGCTAGACAACCAGTCGAACGGGACTTTGGAGCTGGTGAATCGGTTGAGAGGTTGGCACAATGCCGTCTTGTTGGGTACCATATCTCTATAGTAATTAATCATTCCGAGGAAGCGGCGTAGTTCCTTCCTGGTTTTGGGGACGGAAATTTGTTGGATGGCTTGAATCTTCTTTTGTTGGGGCTGGATCCCTTGAGATGTCAGCGTAAAGCCGAGATAGTCGACGGACTGTCTGAGGATGTGGCACTTCTTTCCGTTGAGAGTTACCCCATACTTGGTTAGTCGCTTGAACACAATGTGTAGGTGCTCTAGGTGCGTCTCTTCACTATCGGAGTAGACGAGTATATCATCCAAATAGACTACCACAAAAGCCAGATCGCCAAAAATCTTCTCCATGCAGGCTTGGTATTCGTCCGGTGCTGTAGAAATGCCCATTGGGAGTCGCTTGTATTGATACTTCCCGAACGGAAGACAGAAAGCTGTGTGACCACGGCTTGAGGCAGCAAGGCGACGCGCGTAATACCCCATGTTAGCATCGAATGTTGACAGATACTTGGCTCCTGCGAGACGCAACAGGATCTCGCGTATACGTGGGACGTAATAAGGGCTGCGTTTCAGATATCGGTTAAGTCCGCGAAAATCTATCAGTAGACGAAGTGATCCGTTGGGCTTCTTGAGAAAAAAAGCAGGCGATGCCATTTCTGAATCAAAAATCTGCTCCAGCACGTCGATGCTGACCAAATGCTGGATGAGCTCTCGAGCCTTGTTTTCGAGGCTTCTTGGGACTGGATACGGTTTTGCGTGTACAGGCTTGTACTCCGGCACTATTGGTAAAGCGTAGTCTTCGAATCTCATCCTCCCCAAGTGACCGTCATAGAGATGCTCGTTATCACGAAGAAGCTGGAGATATTTGCCGACGAGTGGCTTGGATAGCCTGTCTGGCATGAGGTCTTCTGGTCGCACTGCAGTGTTATCGACTTCTTTGCTCTCTTCGGGGAATTCATAATCACTTGCGTTGGGAGACGATGACCCGCCGGTGTTTAAATGTGTATAGTGACCATCCCACTGAACCAGTTTGTCTTTAAAATTGAGCACGATTCCTAGTTCATTCAGGATATCACGACCGATCACCATGGCATCCTGGCTCTGATCCAGAATTTCGAACTTGTGCGTGATTATGGTCGAAGGCTGGAGAGACGGAAAGCGGAACTGTACCATCGTACTACCAGCACTAGCGACTTCTCCGTTGACCGTCTGAAACTTTGTCGCCGACTCGACTTGTCTATGCCCAAGCTGAGCATTGGCTCGCATAGTTTCTTGGTTGATTATGCTCCGCGAAGCACCACTGTCTAGCAGGGCATTGAAGGTGCCACTCGCGTCTTTGAATTGTACCGGGATCCGGAGTGGGGCGAGCTTGGCGCTCGGTTGCTTCTTCTTGACAAGGCCGACAAGCTTAAGCTCGCTGTCGCTGTCACTGTCGCTTGCCTCTTCCTCTTCGAATCTTGGGTAATTACTCTTTTTGTGAGCAGTTCGTTTCGTCTCGGCAGGCTTGTGCTCTTCGCGTTGCTTCTTGAGGGCAAAGCATTCGCTGGAATCGTGCGAGCTTGATTTGTGGAATGAACACCACTTGCCGTGTTCTTGGTGACGGTCATGCTTCTTCTTGCCGCCTTGTACACCAGGTCGGTCTCGATGATCTTGACGCGTGTCGCGATGCTCGCGAGGGTTGCGCCGATCTCTGCGCTGGTTAGCGGTAGGGCGTTGTTGGTCGCGCCGACCTTGACCCTTTTCACCACCCTGGATAGCTGGACCATTTAGGCGATCCCGGCCAGTCTGCCTCTCGCGCCTTTCGAGGCGCTCGAAATACATCGCCAGTTCGTTCACCGTCTCATACGAAATTCCGCAGCACGCGAGCTTGTCCTGCCAGTGCGGCGGCATGGCGCGGCGAAAATATCGACATTGTTGAAGCTCTGAGATGGTTTGCGAATCCTGGGCAAATCGGCGTACATCTGTGCAAGCTGTCTTAGCCGTGCCGTGCAGCGTTGTACCGTCTCTTCTCTGCGCTTGGTGAGTGTCCATAGTTCTTCATCCAGGTCTTCACAGTAATCCGCTGGGACTAGAAGAAGTCCAACCTCCCGGTAAAAGTCTTCAAATGTCAGGCCTTTGCTGGAAGCATCGCTGGCAATGCGCTCTACTTCGCGCAACAGATCACCGTCAATCAGCGTAAGAAGTTGAACGGATAGTTGGTCAGCTCTCCAGCCTTTTCGTTTCGCGAGGCTTCGAAACTGCATGCTCCATGTGAGCCAGTCCTTCGATGAACCACCGCGAAAGCGCTTTATCTTCATTGTGGCGACGTCAGCTGGTGAAGTCGCACTTTCTTGGCACGTCACGATGGTGTAAGTGACGTATTCATCCTCATTCCGTCCCATGATGATGGCGACGGGATTCTCGTACGGGATGAGATGTGACTAAGTTAGCCAAATTTGATATATCAAAATGACAAACCCGGCCCGTGGCTTGCAGAGGGGCTCGAGTCTAATGTAGTGAAATGGAGAATGAATATATTGAGGAGGAGTGTTAAACTTGGTAGGCTAGTCTGGTGTCATCATATCCAGTCTGGCGCAATCTTCTTTCGTCTGGCGCAATCTTCTTTCGTCTGGCGCAATCCAAGGATGGTCTCGCAGGTCATATCGATAGACAACCCATGTCACGGACATCAGACGGAGGGCAAGAACAGCTACTACTACGCACACAAGCAGTGCGAGAACGTGGAGATCCGCGAGTGGGATGGCAAAGCAGCGCCGCGTCTCCTCAATACGCAGTCTTTGACGGTGCTCGAGCCAGCTGAAGTAACAGAAGCGGTTTCCAGCTTTGTGTGGGCAGACGGCAAGAAACGTGTGTCCGTGTACCTGAAACTGCCGGGCATTGGCTCTCACTCGGTAGAGAACACGCACATTGACTGGACTGCCACAAGTTTGACGGTCAAGATCAAGAACTTGGACGGCAAGACGCGCTTGTTTGTGGTGGCCAAGCTGTACGCCGAGATCTCGGACGTCAAGACCAAGTGGTTCAAAGGACCAGCTCGTGCTGCACCTCGTCAAGACCGAGCAGCTGAGCTGGGCCTCATTGAAGAAGGACGCTGCGTAGATGCTGGTGAAGCTCTCTTTTGTGCCTTTTCTTTTTGTAGCTGCTACGGCACGCGAAGTACGTAGAACAAATGAGGCACGAGGACGTTGAGGCTGACAAGCAAGTGAAATGTGCAGAGCTCACGAGAAAGTGTACGCACGCATTCATCTGCTGCATTGACTTTGACGAATGTACTAAATGCTCTTGACACTGTGCAGGAGATAGCACAGTCAATGACGCTACTTGTTTCGTATGTCGGTGGTGTAGAGGATTTCGCTCGTGTTGTCGACGAATTGAACACGCAACGTCGTGCTGGTTACGTGGACGGACATGAAGCCATATGTCATTGCTGCGTGCACCAGGTCGGGGTTTGCACGAGCGTCGGGTTGGAGGTCATGGATCTCGTAGCCACCAGCACCAGAGACGAAGTAGTTGCGGACGGACGAGCTGGTACTGTCCACCTTGCGTATGTGCTGCATGGAGTGGTCGTGGCCGTTGAAGTACGCGTGCACGTTGTACTTCTTCAGCATCGGATCAAGCGTCTTGATCAACTCGGGCGTGTCGGCGTTACCTGCGAAGCTGTACACGCCCCAATGGCCCATAACGATCGTCCACATTTGGTCCACACCGACTGGCTTGCCGGCACTCAGCGTTTGCTCAAGCCACTCGTACTGCAACTGTCTCGTCGCTACAGAAGTCTGCTCGATCATTCGTTCGGTGCATCGAATGTCGCGAGGCTCGCGGCCGCAGACCAAGTCACAAGCATCGATGACAACGAGTCTCAGGATTGTCTTGGGTGCCACGCGACGGTCAACGGAGTAATAGCGACGTGGCATGTACCACAACGAGTCATTCTTTTTTGCATACTGAAGCATTGCATCGATCGATCCCTCGCAGTCATGGTTCCCAATTCTACACGGCGTTGCCAACGTGACGCACACATTAGGATCAACACTTGTAACTTTTGTGTTCATATCGCACACGGCAAACGAAAAAAGCAATGCGAGACAAGTAAATGCCATTGACGTACGTGACATACCACGGCACTTGCAACACGGGGTGTGTGTACATCTGCAGCAAAGAATGGCAACCACATCTGCATCATCACACCATTTTGCACCTCTCAAGACAGTACTACAAACGTGTCCGACCTGCTCAAAGTTGGTCGAAAGCAGTGGATCCGCACTGGACTGGATCCTACACCACCACACAGCTCATCCTCGTCAGTGCTTTACGTCCACACTCGACAGCGGAACGGTCCCGCCTCGTCAAAAGCTAGACACACGTACCCTTGATCATAGATCTGGTCGCCTGTCGACAACACAAACGCTGGGGGCGGGTCCATCGTCGCCGCGAACTTCTCGAGTGCCCCAGCCACTTTGCGTTGGCTGTCATTGCCCGTGCCAAAGTCGCCAAACGCAATAAAGTTTGTCTCTTCAGGGAACGTGTTGTCCCCAAGTGAGAGCTGCGACGTACCGGTGACGTGTTGAGCAGCACCAGTGCCATTAGTGCGCCAAAAGAAGAAAGCAAAGGCCATCCAGACGGTCAGCGACCCCAGCGCGACCACCTTCACCCAGCGCTCGTAGTTGCTAGCGCCATACAGCGAAGCGCTGCTCCATCGGCTGGTGCTTCGACGCACAGTCGAGTGACGGTCTTTGCCGTCGTCGTCGTGCTCTTCGCGCATCCGAAGAGCTGTTTCCAGCTGCATGGATGGACCTAATTGAGCGAAAACACAAAAGGCTTTGGGCGACGACTTTCCGATGTGGTGGTAATTGACATTGTTAGGACTTTCGGGACACAGTGTCATGAAGGCGCTCGGGGTGATCCCAGCCCGACTTGGCTCGACGCGGTTTCCGTCCAAGCCCTTGGCCGAGCTCTGCGGGAAGCCCCTGATCCAGCACACGTACGCTGCTGCAAGCAAGTCGACTCTGCTGTCGAAAGTAGTCGTGACCAGCGACAGCCGTCGTGTCTTGGACGTGGTGCAGCGGGTCGGGGGCGACACGATTCGCACTGGCGCTTGTGCCTCGGGCACGGACCGCATTGTGCAAGCGCTCGAGTTGATGGACCCAGCGGAGCTGAGCGAGTACGACATTGTCGTGAACGTACAGGGCGACGAGCCGGGCGTGGACCCGCGACACATTGACTTGTGCATCGACGCACTGCGAAGTGCTGGACAAGACACTGTCGTGAGCACACTCGTGACGCCACTGGTGGACGAACGCGACGCCCGCAACCGGAACGTCGTCAAGTGCGTTGCCGACTGCCACAGGTGCGACGACGCAATGCAGCGACTGGTTTTCCATTGTCTACGTATATGTGTGTGTGTATAGCAGACCTGTCCAAGAGCGACTCTGACTTCGTTGTTGATATGTGTGTATGACCCATTTTGTCGCCGTGTGTATATGTGACCCATTGGGAGCGGGCGAACGACTACGACAGCAACGCGCTCTACTTCTCGCGTGCACTGATTCCTCACGCTAAAGATGGGGCCTTTGCACCCGACACGACCGACTACCTCCGCCACGTCGGCATGTACGCGTTCCGCACGGCTTTTCTACAGACGTTCCCCCAACTGCCTCCGTCTCGTCTCGAAGTCTCCGAAGACCTCGAGCAGCTTCGCGTGTTGGCCGCAGGGTATCGGATCAAAGTCGTGCGAGTCGCTTCGACACTTCCAGGCGTTGACACACCCGCCGAGTTGGACCAATTGAGTCGCCACTGGCCGCCACTGTGGCAAAAACGCTAAATAAAATAGTCCGACCCGAGGAGGTTTCGGATCGTACTTAGTCGAGCTCACCCGTGTCCTCGTCTGGCCGATACTATTGATCGTGGGCGCCGTCATTTCTATTTCTAACCGACGCGAGAAAACGCAGTGCCATGGGAGACAACGAGGACGTGGACTTTGCAGCGTCGGCGACGGGCAACGCCGTACTGGATGCAGCGCGTGGCGTATCAGGTTCAGGAGGTGCTGTAGCGACCGAACAGGGCACCGAGTGGGTGCGGCTGGAGCTCTGTGCGATCGCGAGTCTGCAGCTGGCGCTGGTGCTTGTGGCCTACCGCTTGGACCGCTCGAAGCATCCCGTGCTGATATCTGAGTCGGCGGTTGCTATTTTCTTTGGTGTTTTGGTGCGTTAGTGGACAGCGAGGGAGGGATAAAAACAGAGAGAAAGAGTGGAGGAGTCAGTCGATGGGTGTGTTCGTCTGACCTTTTGGTGGTTCTCTTCTGTTTGGCAGTTTGGCATTGGAGTGCTGATTTTCTACCCAATGGTACTTCACGGAGCGATAATGATGGACAAGAGGCTGTTGTGTTGTACTGAGTTGAGTGTTGTGTTGCTGTGGTTGGTGTAGAAATCGCTGAACAATGGCATGGATCCCGAAGTGCTCTTTTACGCGTAGGATGCTGCTGGTGGCTTGAATGGTGGAGCTCTTTGTGGTGACTGAGTGGACTTGTTGCTACGTGCATAGGCTGTTGCCACCGATTATCTTGGAAGCTGGGTTCAACATGAAGAAGAGGGTATCGCACAGGACTGGAGTTTTGTCATTCGGATCAAACAGAAGTGCGGCTTACCATGATGTGTGGTGTGTTGTGCTACGTGTCTGTGTTGACTCGCGATATCATATCAGGGCTTCTTCTCCAACGTCAATGCAATTATGCTGCTATCCATCGTCGGAACACTCGTCGCGACATTCATCACGGGCGGTATCTTGATCTGGGTGGGCAATTTGGGGCTCATTACCAAGTTGACAGCTGCAGAAGCGTACCTGTACGGCGCGCTCATTTCGGCAGTGGATCCGGTCGCAACTCTGTCAGTGTTCAAGAAGAATGACGTGCCGCCACTTCTTTTCAATCTTGTTTTTGGCGAGAGTATGTTGAACGACGGCGTTGGTGAGTTTCTATAGCACTATTTGATTTGCTGCTGGTGTCACCGGGAAAGCTGCTGTAGCTTGACATGTTTGTGTGTATGCATTTCCGCAGCGATCGTGTCGTTCACACTGTTCCAGGGTCTTGTTCGAGACGACATTGCTGACGTCACCTTACATGACGCAGGGATCATTATTACCAAGGTTTTTGGCATCGGTTTTGGATCTGTTGGTCTAGCAGCAGTGGTGTGCTTCACATCGGCGTTTCTGCTCAAGCAAGCTGACCCGGCTCTGCGACAGTACCCTTCCTACGAGATATCAATCGTGCTGCTTTCGGCGTACCTGAGCTACGTGATTGCTGACCTGGTTGGCCAGAGCGGTATCGTGGCGCTGTTCTTCTCGGGCGTGCTGATGAGCCACTACCACTTGCATAACATCGCTCACGAGAGTGCAATGGCTCTGCGGCATTTGCTGACGACTTCGTCGTTCATGGCGGAGAACTTTGTGTTCATCTACATGGGCATGAGTGTGGTAGCATACTCAAGGTACTTTACGTGGGACTGGGGATTTATCCTCGCCAATATGATCGCTTGTATCTTGGGACGCATGCTCAACACGTTTCCGATGTGCGCACTTGCAAACCTCTGCCGGTCGGAAGACAACAAGATTCCGTGGAGCCACATGGTGGTTATTTGGTTTGCTGGGCTTCGAGGGGCTATTGCGTTTGCGCTGGCGCTGAATGTGTACACGCCCAATCGCGTTCACGCGAGCGTGATCCAAAGCACGACGCTTTTCACGGTCATGTTCACGACTTTGGTAAGCCGCTTGTGATGTAGTGGCAACAAGTGGTAGCTGACACGAACATTACTGACTGGCCAGGTTTTCGGAATGGGGACAAGTCCTGTGCTGCGCTTTTTCGGCTTGACAACCACGCAGGATGATGAACAGAAATATGATGAGTACGTGGGGCAATTGACGTTGATGGACTCACTACCTGATTCACATTGACGTTGCTGTGTTCTGTGTAGCAGCGAGGGTGCGAACGAGCGTTTGCTTTCCAGCGACGACGAGCGCGATACAGACACTGCGTTTCGGCGCATTGACCGGTCACCACCTCGCCGTAACGTTCGTGGCATTCACGGCGTTTGGGAACGCATTGACGAACAGTACTTGAAGCCACTGTTTGGCGGCCATCCCCGTGACCAGCGAGCGGCCGGACTCGCGCGCAGAAAACCAGGTGTGTCGACTGCGAGCACCAGTGGCTCTTCTCCTCGATCGCCGCGACATTGCAATCATAAACGAAAGGACAAGCAGGAATTCCCACCGCAGCCATTGCGAAAGTCTTCACTGTCGCAGATACCGGTAGCTGTCGTGACAGAGGACCATGACGACCGCGAGGTCAGCGTGTAGAGAATGCTGTAGCCATGTGAAATGTCGAGATTTGTGCCATTGGTCTGCACACGTCGAGTCTGTCGTAACTTATTTTGGTCACATGTCTTTTTTGCAATCGAAACCTCTCATCGTACATATTTATCGGTCGTCGTGGCAGTCGACAATAATGGAAGCTCGCGCGGTTTTGTCCGACGAGATGCGTGCGCTGTACGAAGCACAGCGTCGAGCTCACGAGACCGTCCTGGCGTTGCAGGCCCAGATCGAAGACGAGGAAGCCATGTACCTGGACGAGACGCCACATGGCAACATCATTCGTGGCTGGGACGGGTTCATCGACTCGAAACAGCCTCGTAAAGACACGAGTGTCCGAAAACTTCGACCGTACACCGAGTCGGAGCACCTCTTTTCCAGCAGCTGCTTCTACGCTAGCATGGCCAGTGAGCCGAGCCTGGACGACGTTGCCGACATTTATGGCACGTCGAAGGACGAGAGTGGCCATTTGCGCAAACTGACCGTGACGTTGTCCATGGGGAAGGGAACTGGCGTCTCTGGAAGTATCAGTGGTGTAGTGGACAGTACCGCCAGTGCAGTCAATACGACGACGGCCAGTGGTGACCGTTCTCACGCTGATGGTTTGATGCACAAGACAGGCAAGACTGTCGCGCATGTTGCAACGGAGAAAGGAGGAGGAGCAGCAGCAGCAGCTTTGAGTTATCGACAGAGCAAAGCATCTAAATTGAAAAAGAGAAAGAGAGAAGTAGAGACGGACGCTTCTGCGTTTGCTGCTGCTGCTGCTGTCGTTGGGAGTTTACAGAAAACGGCAGTGACTGCTGATGTGATCACGGGTGCAGCTTCGGCTGGAACAACGGCTGTACCGCATGAACCACCGGCGAGTGATTTTCTCGATGTGCTGTGAACGATCGAAGTAGACGAGAGCGAGAAGGCTATCGCAGGATAAAACGTGTGCTTTATTAAACAACGAAATCAAGATTAGTAGTAGTAGTTGTAGTAGTACGACTGACATGAAGGATTCTGGCCAACTTGTCGCCCGCTATCATCTCGCGAACCACAAGGTGTGCCTCAAAGTGCCTGTGCGCAGTGTTACGTCAACGTGTCAAAGGAAGTCAACAACACTTCCAAATCCTTTGTCGTCTGGCGAAAGAAACCGTCGTAGTTGAACTGTAAAAACACGACACGAGCGCAATATCGCGTTAGCAAACCGTCAAACGAATGGGTGTCACCTAGTGCTTACTTCAAAAATATAGTCCAGCTGCTGTGGTGGCACGGTGATGTCGGGAAACTTGGCGTAGCCCTATACCGTAGCACGAAAATAACGTCAACAAGCACCTGTTAGCCTTCCAGTCAAAGCAGCTAGTGCTTTCGTGTACTGCTCACACACGTACCCTGAGTCGGTCATCAACAGTCGCAACAGCTTCCACAGTGCCCTGAAGGCTCTGAAATAGGTGCGAGATACTGTTCCAATGCAGATCTAGCTGCGACCTCAACTGCGTCATGTACTCGCCGTGCGAAAGGATGGCTTCGGACGGCACGGGCGCGGACCCGAATCTAGACGCGAGAGCGTTGATCGAGTTGTATGCATAGGCACCCACACCAATAACATCGTTCGATTCTCGCTGCTGCGCCAGCGGCAGCGCCAGGATGCCCGCCTTCATCTTGGAAGACTCCACCATTATCTGCTTCAACCGAATCAACAGCTCGTCCATCTCCTTCTCAAAATCAACGAGGTTTGCTCTCAAACGTCGATACACGAGCGTCATGCCCGAAATACTCTTCTCTTCGTCCACGATCCGGCGCTGCAGCACCACAACGCAGCTGAGTATCGACCGAATGTGCTTCTTCAGGAGCTGTGACAAGCGCGTCCGGTGCAGCCTCACACGCAGCAGCAGATCGCTGGAGCAAAAGACGCCAACCGCTTCGTAGATAGAGCACAGCACGATGAACGCGTCGAAATTGCCCTCATCAATGGACGAAGTATGGTGCGACGTCCGGACGCCCCAGGACAACTGACCGATACGTTGGATCGACTGACGCACGAGTAGCAGTGTGTCCAGCACACCACCCTGAGCTGCAGCAATGTCAGCAGCTTCCCTCGCTGACGTGCTCGAAGATGGACCCTTTTCAACGTCTTCGTCGTCATCCGTTTCTGAGTTGACTGGGCTGCTCTCGCCCTTCTTTAGCTTCGGTGGTGCCTTTCCACCGACACCCCATGACACAAGTGATGAGAAGAACGAGCTGCTATCCGAGCTCGACTGCTTCTTGGGAGCGCGAACCATTGCTTGGTTTGCAACGACGAGTCGGTTTTCTGCATGAGTATCGCACTCTGAACTACTGTCTTCCAACACAGTGATCCGGTCATCCACTTCCGACGACGAGACCTTTCGAGAGCTATGGCTTCGAGGACCCGGTCTTTGTCCTGCTACAACGAGTGCATTGCTCATCTCGGACGGCGCTTCATCCTCCAGCAACTCTATCGTCGCATGATCGTCGGATTCTGCCGTCCCATTTTCAATTTGTTTGTGTTGCTGTCCTCCGTCTTCGATGAAGCCTCCACCTAACGCTGCCGTGACATACCTACAAATGGAGTTGTTCTCTTCCACCCACAAACCGGTAGCCTGCTTGAACTTCTTGTACATCTTTTGCACGTGAATCGGATCAGCGCTCGCATACATACGCTGAATCGGTTCCACGCATGCGCCAAAATCACGGGCCAAGTAGCCTTCGAGTGGCAGCACCTTGCTAAAACTCCAACGCCAAGCCTTCTCCTGGTTGGGCTTCAGGCGATCTAGTTCACGTACGCCGATGCGCGTGAGCTGGCTCACTTCTCGACTGATCTCGGTTTGCACCGCTTCCAGTGACTGCATCAGACGCCGGATTTCTTCTCCGCCAGGTCCATAGACAAGCAAATCGCCACCAGGGCCAGCCAGCTGCCGAGCTTTACGACAAGACACGAGCAAATCGGCAAGCAGCTTCAACAATCCGTGCAGCTTCGTAAATGCATCAAACGTTTCCTCTCGAACCTCCTTCCGAAGTGAAACAACGCCCGAGTTGCTCTGCTGGAGATAAGCAGACGGAGTAATCGTCAATTCGCTCGAGTTCGAGCTGCGTCGCAGCTGCCGCGTCAGCACTGTAGGCACCTGCGGCCTCGCTTCGGTATCGCAGAACACCGCAGTGTGCGTCATCTCTTCTTCCTCCTCATTCGTCAGCAGTAGCGATGGCAGTGAATCCTGGGGAGAAACCGCACTCTGACTTTGCGAAAAGAGCTCTCTATGAACACACAACAAAAGGCCAATTGCACGTCAATACTTCTCGTCAGTCCACTACCACTCTCTTTTACGAAAGCAGCCCTTTCACGTACTTAAATGACGGCGTCGTCAGCAGCACTTCCAGCATTTGTCCCGACTTGCTGCCCATGGCGTCCTTCATCCCGGCATGCTGCTGCGACTGCAAATTGCTGATCGTACAGTCGGCTGGGGTATTTGGCGTATTGCGTAGCACGTAAAAGAGGAACTGCACACCGTGCATGAGTCCGTCGGTGCCGCGAGCTTCCAGTGTATGCAGCTGTTCCCGCGCCGACGAGTGCGCGCGTTCCGTCTCAATTGTCGGGAGCACGCGCGACTCAATCACGTTCCGCACGTCTTTCAGCGTCCCCAACAGCGATCGTTCCCCTGATCCAGAGTGGAAAAGTCCTTGCTGTCCATGCTGTAGCCGCAGCACGTAGCTGTGTCGTCGTCGCACTTCGATTAAAATGGATTCCGTCGTGCACGTTGCCGGCGCCAGCGTCCGCATGGCCCAGTCCTTGAACTCCTCGAGCAACAGCGTCCGCGGATCATTGAGGTATCCGGTGAACGAAAACGACCGGTCGTACCGCTCTTTTTGGTACGCACAGATGCTCGAGATAATCGCTTCGGCGGGGTTGCGCAGCAGCCCGACCACGTCCTGCATCTTGCGTAAGTACGAGTTTTCATCAAAATCCGAGATTGTTGGATTGTGCAGTGGATAAAAGTTGTCGTCCATCTTGAGCGCCGTCGGGAGGTCTTCTTCGCTCACTTCCATGGCTTCGCAATAGGCCTGGTGCACAAAGCGCATCTGGTCCATCTCGAGCTGCGAGTAGCTCTTGCTGAAGGGGTTGAGTCGCATGCCCCAGTTGGACATGGCGGCTGGTGGTGGGGAGAGGTCGAGGAGGGACGACACAAGCGACAGAGAGGCTGCGAGAGAGACTGGAGCTGCGGCGGCTTTGGCGTGGCGCGAGAACTCAGTTTCGGACGGCGCAAAACAAAGAGAGATTCGATGTGAGAGGGTATAGGAAAGAAAGGGGATAGGAGAACTGGAGCGATGATGGGGAGACGCTTTTGTTCTCCGTCATCGTCAACGGTCGCTCGGCGTGTTTTGGTTGCAAAAAGTGCCTCGCGGTAGGTACGCAAACGTGTTTGCTTCGTCGTCGTGTGGTCGTTGTTGTGGTTGTTGTTGTTGAGAGTTTTGAGTTTGGGAGGTGAACGGGAGTTAATACGAACGAACAGCTCAGCTGACACTATCAGCTTAGACAAAAACAAACGGCGAAACGATCGTGCGATAGGGTCAGTCTTTCGATCGACTTTGCACACACGAAGGAAACGCAAAGCGACGCACGGCTTTTGTCGAACCAATCCGTCCATCTACCATTCAGTCGGTATACGATGATACACTTTTCGTTGCTTTCGTACCGACAGGAACCTGTCATGTCGTACCACAAAATATGTGTAGCGATGCTAAGGTTCGTATGTTGCGGTGGCAGCTGTCACACTGGTTCACATAATGGATGCAATCGAGCGTATGTGGAATTCATGGTCCGTCCCGCTGGAGTAGATGCACACTCTTGCCCCATCGTGCGTGACCGGGCGCAATCTGCACGTCGATGTCTTCAGTCGTAGGGTATGCGGTGCTCAGGTGACCACGTGTTTTCGTCACCATCTATCCAGATCAGTCGTAATCTGTCAATGGCAGAAGTAGTCTCCTGCATTGATACGAGCGACCTCGTGGTATTGACGGAGAACTGAGCCGGTCGGACAGCAAAGTTCGGGTCTGTAACTTTTTGTATGATAGCGCGTGAGGCTGTGTGTGATAACGGACATGTCCGAATGCGAAAAAGCTGCGAACGCGAACTTCTGGGCCTGTTGTTCGAAAACGTTTCCTCACCTGCCTCACGCGGTGCTGACTACCTCTTTCCTGTACGACACAAATAGCAGCAGAACATGCGACTAGTAACGACATGCTCGCACGTCATGGTGATTTCAGTACCACAGTCTCTTCGCCGTACGCCAAGAAACCCTCCTCGTGAGCAAAACATGTGCTGTCTAGCTGTACCGTGGAAGCAACTGGGGCGATGCGCGCCGCCTAAGCCAGAACTTGGCTGCGAGCAACATGTACACGAGAATTACGAACGGGTATTTCCCTTTGTGCTATCGGATGTCAATGACGGTGCAGATTGCGAACTTAGGAGCTGGCAGGCATCTACAGAAAGCAAAAGTCTGCGTAAAGCGTCGAAGGTGGTTTCCTTCCAGCAGTGTGGGGTACGTTCGATGCATGGAGCTGAAGACCGTACTTCAGGCCGTCAAGTCATTTTGTCTGAATACTCGTCAACTACATGGAACGAGCTGCATGTAAAGTGTATGCGGCTGGCATCGAATTCACCAGCGGGCCGAATTATCGCGGCCGTCGTCCCAATGATATGCTCTAAATATATTTTGATGATTCTATTTGTATCAATAGCTTGTTGAGGAAAGAAATTGGATGCCATGAAAAGGACCATCAATAGGAATAGTACGTAATTTTAGGTATAGTGCACATTTTTACTTATATAGTATCTATTTTTTGCGATTTAAGTACGTGCTTTTTCCCTCATTTGTGCGGTCAATACCTTTGCATCGCTACATACTGCAGGCGCTACAATTCTCTATTCTGCGTAGAAAAGCATTTCTATTCGTCTGAGCTGATCACCTCTACTCGCAAATCGTCCATTTCTTCGACGTACTATACCTTCCTCTACCGGTAGCAACTTACCGGTATTCGCAAACACAAGCGCGTACCCGCCAGCACGCACGTGATGGGCCGCAACAGGAAGGGGCGTCAATGCGGCGGCTATGGCTCCAAGAAAGAGCGGTTCGAGAACGTGTATATACGAAAGATGCAACCTAGTACAAGCTGATCGCCTCCTCTTCTTTTTCTCGATCTTCGCAGGTTCGTGCTGCTCCAGCGCTGGCAGCAAGAGGTCAACAAAGTCACGCGCAAGAATGCGCAGAACCGACACGCACAGCACAAGCTGGAAGACCAGCGGAGACGCACTGCGGCTACTGAGTCCGTACGTCGTCGGGTGCGGGCAGACTTGCTTTCATCGTGGACGAATGCACGTCTAAAGGACGATCGTAGGGAAAAGAGGAAGCGCGAGGGAGCGCTTTCGATTGCTTCGGAGCTGCAGAAGACGTCGACAGTGGACACGTTCTCGTCGCTACAAGAACGGTACATGGCTTCAGTGTGACTTCTGACCCATCTGAGTCGAATAGTAGGGCAAAACTGTGGTGGCGGTACTAAGTCGAACGTGTGGCATGCAGGTGCATCTACGAGATCGCGCGGTCGTTTGATCTCTATAGCTCTGCGTGCGAGTTCACCCACGCGTTCTTCGCCTCGTGCACGCCATGGATGGTCACGCGGCTGGCAGAAATGGCTACTGCATTCAAGACAATGAGCGATGGGAACGTGCGACTGTTGCTGCTGCAGCCGATCGAGCATCTCACTCTCGGCTTTGTCCGTGAGGAAAAGTCATTGGCACCGTTGTTCACTGAAGGCAACAACGAGCAGCACATGGCGTGGCAGTCTGTGTCCATGAACAACCTGGTAGAGCGTGAAGTCGAGTCATGGGAAGATCTGGACAGTGACGACGTTGACATTGTACAGACTGGTGCCGATGACGTGCGACTGCTGTCTCTGCGTCTCGTGTCGTGTCTTGGACTCTCGAGTCGGTTTCTGACGCAGCTGATGGACTTCCATCCGCACCTCGAACATCTCAAGATTGTGGATTGCTTTGACGCAGCAACGACTGAAGAAGGCATTGCATTGCTGCACCAGCTCGCCAAGTCGCGGGCGCTCCAGACGCTGCACTTTTCCTGGTGTTGCTGGCTCAATACGGAGATCCTTGTCACTTTTGCGTACCAGCTCGTTGAACCGCCTGTGTCTCCGCTTCGAGAGCTTCATGTGTCCAACTGTTTCGATGTACTCGGCGACTACGTGCAAGCGGTGTACCACGAGCTTTTGCCCGCGTTAAGTGTAGCCATCTGACAGTTGCGCGTCCGCGGACCTTGTGAACAGCATACTGACTTATTCCCATATATAGTTTTTCTACAAACTGTCGCGCATCCGACGACGTACATGAGCATCTCGGGACCGCTGTACCGTCGCACGCCGCGACTGTTCAACCGCAGCAAGCCAGGGGAATGGAGCTTGGTCTGGTGTGAGCTGTCGATCGGTCGGGGCGAGCTGCTCGTGGCGCTGGACCCCAGCGGCCGCAGTCGCATTGCGTTGATTCCCGTCCAAGCGTGCGAACTCGCCCATGTGCGGAGTGACGGACGCGATTGTATTGAGTTGACGATCAGCCGGGGCAAAAAAGAAACGTTTTCGTCCCACGAGTCGAGTCACGATGTCGATTGGTGGTACGACCGACACGCGCTGGTTTCTGTTACTCCAGTACTTGACCCGCCCGTGGTTCCTTCCTCGTTGTGTCATTCGACATGCGATCGTCGGATTGATTAACGAGAACAATGTCGTGGCTGTTTCGTACGTTCGTAGGATGACGGCGTTGATCACGGTGAAGAGGGACTTGCAGCGAGGCGTGACTCCTCATATTTCGCTGGTCACGCCACCAGCGTCAGGGCCTGCATCAAGACCGAAACACATGCGGCGTCCGTCGTCGCAATTGAGTCTGAATTTGAACTTGTCAGTCAATGGAAGCACATCGAGTGGAGTGGGACTAGCACGGCCGACATTACGCCGTCGAAAACCGGCGCTGGCAACCTGCGAGACGCTGTTCGAACGCTTTACAATCTACGAAACGCCATCGATGTACTTTGTAGTGTGCTCGGATCGCCACTACTCACGTTTTCGGATGATTGAGCTCGACCGGACGATCGAACAACCAAAAACTTTGGAGCAAGTGCTGAAGGAAGATAAACGTCTGTATGACTGGGAGCAGATGGAAGCGAGGTTGCAAGCACTGGCCGAGCTTGCACGTATTCAAGGCACTGGCAGTCTGGAGAGAGCGTTCACGGCCGTGGCGCTTGTCGGGTGCATCCGCTTCTTGCGCGGCTACTACTTCATCTTTGTCACACAAAGACGAAAGATTGGCAACATCGGAGGCAACTCGATCTACGGCATTTCAGCCACGCAACAACTGAATGTCACTCGGTCTGGAGAAGACCAGACTGCGTGGACCCGACTCAACCGCTGGTTTAACCCGAGTCCAAAAGAGGAAGCAGAGGCGCGATACCTTGGTCTTTTCCATTTTCTGGATCTCACTAAGGACTTTTACTTCAGCTACTCGTACGACGTTACGCACACATTGCAGCACAACATGACGACAGAACACTCGGAGCCAGCAGAAATGTTTACGTGGAACTACTATCTGACGCGGGAATTGAGCATTTGCTTGAATGGAGGAGCTGCTGCTGATCTGATTATACCGTTAGTCCTTGGCTGCTATGAGCAGCGCAAATGCTCGGTATTCGGTCGTCTCGTTAGCATCGTACTACTTGCTCGTCGATCTCGCCACTTTGCCGGCACGCGCTACTTGAAACGTGGTGTAGCCGATACCGGCAAAGTCGCGAATGATGTTGAGACGGAGCAGATCATTGAAGATGAGAGTATGGGCCCCGGAAAATTCAGCTCATTTGTACAGCATCGTGGGTCGATTCCTGTGTTTTGGTCACAAGAGACGTCTGCGACGCTACCAAAGCCACCCATCGTGCTTAATCGTGTCGATCCAACATACAACGCGACGCAAAAACACTTTGCCGACCTGTTCTCGAGATATGGTTCACCTGTCGTGGCTCTCAATCTCGTGAAGCAGTCGGAAAAGAAGGAACGCGAAGTTATCGTGGGCAACGAGTACATGAACGCCGTAGAATACCTCAACAGCTTCATGCCGCCAAAACACCGCGTGCGATATGTAGCGTTGGATTATTCTCGTTTGTCTGGGCCTAAACAGAAAGGTCTGAACGTGCTGCATTCACTGGATAAGGTGGCGGTCTGGGCGCTCACGCAGACTGGATTCTTCTGTAGTGCACCGAAGCGACAAATTAGCCAGAACGGCAACATGCGGACAGCTCAGGCGTTTTGCCCGAGCTCGCCTGCCGAGCCATGGGACGCGTGTGTCACAGCAAGTAAAGTTCAATCAAGAGGAGAAGCTGATGATGAAGAGCTTGTGGCTGACTCGCCCCTATCTCCTACCATTTCGAGAAACTCTGGAGAGTGGCTAGAGCAACGAGGCATTCTCCGTACGAACTGCATTGACTGCTTGGATCGCACGAATGTCAGCCAGTTCAGTGTTGGAATGCGCGCACTAGGCCAGCAGCTGTATGTGATGGGAATCAAGAACACGCCGCTCCTGGAAAGTCGTTCGCAGCTGGTTCTTGTCCTGATGAAGCTGTATTCGTTGATGGGTGATGCAATCTCGATGCAGTACGGTGGGTCGGAAGCTCACAAAAACGTGAAAAACAGCGCTACCCGGGAAAACGTCAAGCACCGCGAACTTCTTACATCCATTCGCCGCTACTACAGTAATTCGTTTACAGACACAGCAAAGCAAGATGCGATCAATATTTTCCTCGGGCACTTTGTGCCTACAGAAGACTCGCCTCCGCTATGGGAGCTAGATTCCGACTACTACTTGCACAATTTTGAGGTCCGAAATGGCATGGCTGCATGCGAGAACGTCCGTCGCAACCTTGCTCTCCATGCTGAAAATAAAAGAAAAGCGTTTGGCGAACTGTACCGAAAACCCCCGATGCAGCTATCGTGCTGCTCATCGTCGGAAGTTTTGGAAAATGACAGCAACGACAGCGTCAGCGACGAACTTGTGCGCGAACGTGCTATAGTTTCGGCGACTCGAGACCAGGCGAAGCGCGATGTGTATATTCGCGAGTGTAGGCGAGTACTAGATGACTGGTGGAAGGGGCCGTTGGAAGCATTCGAGCAGCCAAAATATTGTCTGCCATCGATGGAGAAATTGCCTTGTGTGCCTGACCTGGTTGAGCGAAGAGAGAGTAAACAAGAACTTAGCAAAGGCTTCGATGAGTCGCTACAAACATTGGTAGATCACGAAAACACATCACCCCGGTCTCCGTATTCTGACGACTTTCTGCATATGTACCATCCGGAAGAACTGACAACCTTTGACAAAGTGCTGGGGTACAAGTTCATGCTTCCAATGGAGATTTCCGACGAGATCAACGAAAGAGAAAAGCGGCGATCTGACAATGCTTTTGTAGCACATTTGACATCGGCTCCATCGTCGTCGTCTATATCCGGCTTAGCACGCGGCGATGAAGAAAGCGTCTCCGATTATGAGCAGGCGGCTCGACAAGGGCAAACGATGAAGGGCACTCGATCATTTCGTAGCATGAGCGCTCCTGACGTTGGAGAAGATGTGAGGAACCGATCGCAGTCCAATCGAAAAGCGCGCAGTAGTGGGCGTGAGGAGAAGCATGTCAGTTCAGACGAGCACACAAGTGCGAGTGGCTCTGGATCCCATCGTGCTTCCCGTTCTGCGTTAGCGGACGCCATAAACAAGTGCGGGGGTCACGGGTCTGCAACTCTGAAGTCTATGGTGAAACACAAAGACGAGCAGATCAGCATCGAAGACTACGTGCTAAGCAGGGGGTACGTCGTGTGAATCTGTTTCAGATCGCGCTCTGCCGCGAATGACACAGCACATGCAGCGTCTGATTCTGGTGCTCATTGTTTTGCGCTGTACACAGGCGTCGGATGTTTGTCGGCAACTGCTCTGCACCTGCACCAGACCCTATATATCAACAGTACGACATGATCGTCGCAGCTTTCGTTATGGTATGCAGCAGCGCTCATTCACTTGACTCGTTTACGTTGGTGTAGGTACGTGCTTGGAAAGGAGTCCCCGCAGATATGGGAAAATGACAACGACGGTGTCAAGCTGTACTTCGAGGCGTACATGCGAGACAATCGCATCAGCCCTGACGACGCGCGCGGCCTTCGTGAAGCACAGACTCGAGCTGGCGCGACCTTCACGCTCCAAACTGGTCCATATTCGGGACTAGAGCAGCATGTGAAGGCACGAGTCTTGGTTGCGAAGAAGCTCAAGACCGACTTTGAAGATCGAAAGTACGTTCGTTGTGTCGATGGACAGAATGAGCCTGCGGCGTGCCTAATTCTCTGTATGCGTCTTTGTAGAATGTTTGAAGAGTCTTTGGATCTCAAGAAACTCGTGAAGACCGGTGAAGCGTCAGTACCTGTGGAGAGCCTGGAGTTGTACAAGACTTTTTTTGATGAAGAGCTGCCGACGGTGGAGATTTACCGACCTACAAAAGAAGCGACACCACCAGTATCGATGCTACGAATGGCAGATAATTCGACACCGCCAGTGACATCGGCGACAGCTCTCTCTTCCAAACTGGATTCGCGTATTGAGCAGTTATCGCTGGACAAGAGGAGCCGTACTCGATTCAGTGGCGGAGAGCTGATCCCGGTGGGTCCTCTGTTCAAGATGGATGGCGGCAAAGACCGTGACTTTATCGTTTTCAATGAAGCGGCAGCAGAAAATTCGTTCGGCGAGGTGACGCAAAACGAAACGGAGTTGTCGTTCTACTCGAAGTGAGGCACGGCCAACGCACGCGGTAACGTTTTATTAACTTGACATTGATTATAGGCCCTCGCTCGCTCATGTCGAGCTATTATTCACTGTTCGTCGACAATATCAATCGTGTGGTCTTGCTCTACGTCGAGTAGACTGTGCATCATGGGCTTCATGTTCTCCAGCTTGGTATTCCGTTTCCACTTCTTTTTTGAAGGCAGCCGACTGCCATGGCGTTGGTTGCCACAGCAACTGCTGCTCTCGAATTGGTTTCGAGTTTGCACTCGTCGTGGAAATTTGCGCCACAAACGATGGTGTTGCCGGCTCAGGACATTTTGATGATCGCTTTCAGTGTCGATCGGCACATGCAGTCCCTGGCCATGCAAGCGACAGGCACAAGTGCTGGCTGTTCCTGCCTCAGTGCCATGACAGGTACCCGATGAGGTGTGTGGTGAAAACGTGGACGCCAGTTGTGAAAACAGTCTCGATCGATTTGAGCTTTTCTGGAACTTGTCCTCATCGACTAGCTCAAAGTAAGACGCGCTATCCGACTCGGCATCTGTGCCGTGTTCCAGCGTGGTCAGCGGCTGACAGAAATCGATGTTGCCGTCATCGAAGAAATACAGCGTCTTGTTGTCCACGAAACCCCGTTCGTGATGAACATGGTGCAAGAATCCGGCATCCATTAATGCACGACCAAGCCGCACGCCCTTGCTGCGAGAATCTGTGGCTGCCAAGTCCTCCAGCCGCTCGACCAACCGGTCACCGGCGATACACTTTTTTGCAGCAGCAATGATGCTGGACTGTTTGACGTCGTCACTTAGCTCCTGAGCAAACGTTGCTAGTAGCTCCTCTTGCAGGCACTCAAGCGTGTGGACAATCTGTGGCATGCTAGGGCGTGCACGCGGGTCACTCTGCCACGCACTGGTGATGATGTCTCGAAGTTTGGCTGGCAAAGCTTCGTCAGTGGTTGCTGGATCCATGTCATCAAACGGAGGACGACAACCGCTGAGCACACCTTCAAATACCCGCATCGGGTTCGTTGCAGCATACTTCTCGCAGCCCGGGTACAAGATGTCCCAGAACGTGATGCCTAGCGAGTAGACGTCAGCCGATTCGCCGTAGCTTGCGAGACCTGTCCGACAGTCGATCATCTCTGGAGCCATGTAATTCACCGTGCCCGTGACAGTCATTTTGACCTGCGGCGTAGCTCGAGCACGAACCTCGGGAGTGCAAGCGCCAGTCAAGTCATTTCTTGTCTGCAGGTTGCCCGCCTTGTGGGCGTCGATCGATTTTTCAGCCTTCGTCACCTTCTCGGGTAGCCGTCGCGAGTCACCGAAATCCGTGAGCTTGACGTTGTTGTCATTGTCCACGAGGAAGTTGGCAGGCTTGATGTCCCGGTGCAGGAACGGTGGAGAAAAGCTGTGAACGTGAGCGACCGCACGAGCGCAATCGAGCATGTACGCTACTTTGAGCAGCATAAACCGGAAATCGGGAATGTCAACCTCGTGGTGTGTACCGTCGAGGTCAAGTCGACGACGACGTGGTACGCGGCGCTGACCTTGTGCTCTGCCCTGGGCGATCATGATGTCTTCCAACGAGCCTTGACAGAGCTCAAAGACCAAGCAAATCGTCGGAGGACACACGCACATGCCAAAGAACTTGACAATGTTTGGATGCAACAAGGACGCACAAAGCGCGGCTTCGTGCGAGAACTCGGCCACAACTTCTTCAGTGAACCGGTACGGCGTGTACACTTTCACGGCCACTTGGCATTGTTGCTGGAGTTGTCCACGGAACACCGTTGCGCTCGACCCAACGCCTATCTGCTGGAGTAGCTCGAGGTGGGCAAAGTCAATCACGACCTTCTTGTGCAGCTCAATGAGGAGGTGAATCCCGTTGGACGAGATGCACTCGTCGAGTGGCGGGTTCTGACCGTCGAGTCCCTGTTGCAAAGCACACGCACGTTGACCGAGACCGCGCCAGTATTCCGTGTCGGCACGGAGCAACGCCCACGTGAAAAAAGGCGACAACGAGCCGCAGCATACCATGATGTACGTCGTGGTAGCAAACGTGCTCGAGTGCGGCGCGTACTTTTGGAGCAACGTGTTCATAGCATTGAGCATGTGGAACACAATGACGAACGTGCCGTAGACACGCAGAGATCGTGGACTCGCCCGACCTGCTGGGGGCCGGATGAAGCACACGTGGACGACAAACGTCAGCAACAAGAGCCGTGTCACAGTCCTGACGGAGTAGAACAGCGTCATGTCTTGTGGTGCCACGTGCGTGAGGAGACACACGATGGGGACTGTGTACGAAGCGAGGAGAACGGACGTGATAACTGCACGTCGGAGCGCTGGCACCGAGACGCTCTTCTGGCACAGGAAGACAAGCGCGAGGACCAGCACAAACTGTCGACCCGCGTAAATGACTTCGCCATGAAAGCTCGGGAAGTGAGTCGTGTAGATACAAGTGGCGAGCGTGACGCAAAAGAAGATGGCAAACGCGCCCGTAGTGGCAGCAAAGATCCACAGCAGTGGTTCAAATGCCGGCAGAATCACTTTGCGAGCCGCTTGCGCATCGCCTTTGAAAGCGACGTGTCGATTCATGCGCAGGTACAGGAGCAAGAGGAGGCAAACGAAGCACGAGACACCGTAGCCAACGAGTGCGAGGATTTGGGACAATCGCACGCGCTCGGAAACGACAACTGGTGCAGCCATGTTTCAATCGACGACAAAGGGGTTGTTGTCCACGTGACGGACGTGGCCTCCAGTTGCTGCTGCGAGGCGGTCGCAACGTTCGGTCGAGATGGAAACTGGAAGAATGACGAGCTGGAATTGTTTTGCACTTGCTGCACCGCCGCTGGTGTTCGTCATTCGGTCCATGTGCCGACAAATGTGTATTTATAGAAAACGTTTCCAACGGAAGTGATTGTCACGCTCGACGCGACAGGTAATATCAAGCGAGTGAACAAACGTAATGACAAAGTGTATGTAGGCTGTGACTTGCTGGACGTTGTCAGACGAGCACACAAAACGTTTGCATCTCGCGTACAAACACGATCGACGTGCGGCTGCGAGCCATTTCATCGACACTGCAATTGCTACTAAGGGCGTATCGACGACCGACGGGAATATCTCGCTCGTGGTGGTTTGCGTCTCGCTCGAGGACGTCGACTTGTTTTGAGAGCTTGTCAATGAATGCGGCTAACTTTAGACGCTGCCAAGATCTAAGATGGGCGTGACATGGTGCCGTTGGTGCTTCGAACGAACCAACGCGTGTTTGCAGCGGCACTGTTGACAAGAAAGTGACGACCGCACAGATGAGGAGGCCACGATGGGAGATGTCTGTCGGTGGTAATGTAATGCACGGCAAAGTCGCTCAAATCAAGTGGTACGATCGGAAAGTCGCGGTATGCGGGCAACCGACAGACGCTGCTCATGGGACCGTCTTTACGTTTCTCTAATCTGCTCGCAACGCTCAGCAGGCGCGTTCGTTACGTAGTCAACGATAGATGTGGTATGAACGTTATCTGTGGCATGAGAATTGGCTGCTGTGGTACGAGATATCTCTGGTGGTCGCGAAAAACAAGCGCAAGTGTGGTGGATTACTGCTATATACGAGAGATGCAGGTTGGTCGACAGGTCCGTGTCGAGTCTACTGGAAGAGTGCAAACGTAAGCATAGAGACAACGGCCATAGCGACAAGAGGCATCGGACGCGGCGACAAGGTCCCACTCGACGTCGCGGTCGAGTTGGACGGCTTCGCGTCCTTGCTCGACTTGGACTCTTTCGGGACCGCGCTCTCCTTTGTGCAGTGCAGGCCCTCCCAGCCTTCTTCGCACTCGCACATCGAGGCCGCGCACGTGCCCTTCCCGTTGCAGGCCTCCTTCGACGTGGGGTCGCACTCGGAGCACTGGTCGCCCGTCGTGCCGGCCGCACACTCGCACTCCTTTGTCTCCAAGTTGCACTCCCCCGTCGCACATTGACCCGGGAGCTGGCACTTGTTCGAGTCAATGACGTCGCACGAGTCACCGCTGTAGCCCACGTTGCAGCGGCACGTGTAGTCCAGCGAGCCCATCGAGTCGGGGGGTACACGTGCCTTGGCCCGAGCACAGCAACGTCGAGTTGCTCGTGGCGTTCGTGCTCAAGCAGTTCTCCACCAGCGCCGCCGTCGTGCCCAAGTTGTCGGAAAACTCAGTCGCCTCGTCCTCCCCAAACAGCACCTCGAGCGCGCTCGTGTCAAAGTCCACGCAGCCGTAGATCGCGTCAATGGACTTGCCCTTACTGTCCTTGGCCCCGCTGACACAAATCACGCCGTCGTCGGACGCCTTCTTGCCGCTCACGCACTTTTCCGCGGGTTTGTACGTGCAGACGCTGCTGATCTCATTGTACGGACTCGGCCACGACGAGAACGTCGGGCACAGGCCCGGAAACTGCCCCGAGCACACGTCCGTGTCTTGCACCTTGGGAAGGCACTGCTTGACCGTGTCCGTGCCGGACCGCGTCGTCTGCAGCGCGACGCACTCGTACCCGGCGACCGCACAGTCTTCCGTCTCTTTGCAGATACCCGGACGCTCCTTGTCCGCCTTGGACTTGGCAGCGACCTGCTGACTCAGCGCCACGAGCGCCAACGCACTTGCAACTGTCCACACGTGCATGGCAAAGACGGACGAACCAGAGGGACGAGAGCGCACGTGCGGCTTGAGGTCGAACGGGTTAAACGGAGAATGACAGCAGCACGGACCGCGGGCTGCTACAGCCAAAAAAGCTGACGACGACGACGACGACGACGACGACCGACAGACGGAAGGAACATTTCGGCTGTCGCGATAAGACGAGCGGCTACGTCTGACTCGATCGTTCCCAAGCGACGCTCTATTCTGACGCCTGAACCACACACAGTCACAAGGAGAACAACAACAGACAGACACACTGCAAAGCGCGACACGAGTGACGCCACTCGTATGTATCAGTGTCCCAGCGACGACAGATGCGACAGATGGCGAGGAACGAAAACGTCCCGTGCTCAAATGACAGGCGCGACCCATAGACGGCACCGCCTGCTCACCTGCGCGCCAAACAACACCGCAGCAGCGACGCACGAGGCAACAGCCTGTCGCAGTGACCTGAACGTGCAGCTGTGTCCGTGCGGCGCATGTCGTCTTCGGGAGGTGCTGCGTGGCCGTCTCGTCGACGCCGTCAGCTCTGTGCCGGCAGAAACGACGACGTCTCGGCCGCTACTTCCGTCATCTCGACCACGTGCTGCCTTGGCGTGTACGTCACTCGGTAGACGCGCCGGTCCATCGCACGTGCATAGATCCAGTCCAGTAGTGCGTTTGTGAAGTTCAAGCACACGACGGGGCTCTGGATGCAGGAAGGAGAACGAAGAAAGCGTTAGCGATCACGAGTTGATCAGTGCTTTGGCCGTTGTGGACACACACACACCACCTCTGAGGTGCGTTCTGACGACGTCCTGTTGTTGCATGTACGTACCCAGTAGTTGCGACAGAAGCTCGGAATGTCCGTCACGCGGAAGGTCTGTAGCTTTTGGACGCGAAACTCGTCGTCTCGAAACGCCACGACGAGTGTTGGCGTGCCAACCAGAAACGATTGGATCCAGAAGGCCAACAGCTTGAAGCGCTCAAAGACAAACCGGTCGGTCCCGCGTTGCAGCAGACGGAACGTTTTGAGCTCAATGTACTCGCGGCTTGCGCTGCTCTTGTCCGCGCAGCAATCGATCTCGGCCGCGACCACCAAGCGCTTGTCGCCCAGCGTCATGGACGAGATGCTGCAGTATTCCTCGTCCTCGTTGACGACGCGCTCTTTGTTGCTGTTCCGCGCACTGGCGTTCGACTGCGTCGAGTAAATCTCGAATCGGCGTCCGGCGAACGCCCCGCGCCGTTGATTCTCATGCGGGTTTCGAACGCTATCCATGTCCTGCTGCGTCTTTCGCACGTTGAGGTACACGCACCCGTTGCGTTTCTCGACGTCAAAAGCCCAGCTGCTCTTGCTGTTGTACGGCGTCTACACGCGCTCAGTCGTCAAGGCACAACGTCCGTCAGATAAGAAGCACGTGTCGACTACCTCCACATGCCAACTACTCACGCCCATGATCTTGTTCAGGTTGTTCCGGTACGTGACAAAGTGCGGCTGTTTCCATCTTTGACTGTTGTTGCCTTGAAAGTGTTCAAGGGCCGCTAACAATGGAGCAATGGGAGCGGATGGTGCAGTCGGATGCTTCTCGTCTTTGGAAGTGAAGCCCTCGAACCCATCAAGCAAGTTCGCCCCCGCCTGCATCACGACCGCCAACAAGAACAAAAACAACCAACGTCATGACCATTTGCGGTCATGAGCTGTCCCCGAGTCACACCACATGTTGCTCTCTTCCACTTACCGCTGCTTTTTTGTACACCAACTGCAACAGCAATAGACCCAACAGGTCGATCATTCCACGACAAAATCCACATTTACACATCCACAAGTAATACAAAAACACCTCAGACGCACCAGGTTCGACCGGTCGAAATGCACGGAATGGTCTCCATGTGTGCTGAAGTAGGCGATTTCTTGGGGCTGTAAAGTAACACAAACGCAAAGTACGTTGCAATTAGTGGGCACCAAGCGATCTCTCCAGTGTCGTTTCCTCTCCACACCTTCGACAGCGCCACTCGATCATGTTGTAAAATCTCGTACGCCCTCAAGACATTGAATCGGTTCGATTCTACGAGAGGAGGTACAGAAGAATTCGGATCAATGGTGGAGCGGTCGTCGCGGCGTCGCTGCAAGTCGGTGGTAGCCTCGACATCTCGTTGACGTTTTTTAGGCATTGGTATTGTCAGAGGTTGCGAAACGAGCTTGGGCATCGATGGGTGTTCGAGATCTAGACCATCTTGTTGTCAATGCAGATGCAATCAAACCATTGCTGCGACGACGTACAGAATGCGATAATTGCTCGTATAGTGTACAATAAGTAATTGCTCTACTAAGCATTCGAGAACTTGAATCGCACCAATCAATTATATTGCACTCATGGCTCAGCTGTTTGCTTGCTCTTTTGCCAAATGTTGACGTCCTTGTGGTGCCGTGGGTACCTTCATAGCTTTCCACGACGACTGAGCGCATGTCACTCGAATACCAGATCTGGGTATTGCGTTGTCAGCTACCGCATGCTTTCTTCCTGCATCTTGTGATGCTTTGCTGCTTTCTTCTGCGCGCTCGTTCGCACTCTGCTATCCACTGCGAGTGGAACAACATTGGAAGCACCTAAGCTACCTACTTCAAGCTCGCCGTGCAATCACTAACCCGGCCCCCGTCAAGCCAATTCCATGTGTGGAAAATCAATTTCACATCAAAGGGTCACTAGCACACGGCAACTCAGTCGATATGGCCACGTGTAAACGAGCAGCAGCTTTTTCGCTAGGGTCTGTCATGACGGCCGACGAGTTGTACTCACTAGGACCAGCTGGCTTTCCTTCTCGCAATCCTTTATGACCACTTCCTTCTGCTTAGCGATGCTGTAAAGGCGTCGATTAGTTGAATCGCATGGTACTGCATGTAGTGTATTGTCCAGCTTCGGAACTTCTCTAGCTTTCACGCCTCTCGCTAACGTGGAAAAGCGAATGCGACTCACTGTGATGAGGCACGCACAGCCCGTATGTTCGATAGAGCAAGTTTCACGTATGCAGAAAGCTTCGGTGGTTTGAGCACACGAGCCATAACGAACCCTTCGAGCGTGGAATAATATCGAGACTGTTATCGTACATGAGTGATCGCTAGATCTCAGTTCCTTTCGCGTCACACGACGAATCCAAAAGTGCGGCAGCGCAATGTCGTACGGCCTATAGTTTGCGATTCGATCATACCGCTCACGAAAGCGGCGAGATGGCATGTTAGCTCTTGTTTGTCCCCCAATAGATCTGTTGTATGTAAGGAAGAAGAAACGCAAGCTTCAAGAGCAGGTTAAACAAGTCACCGCATCAAATTAATGGAAACCCACTGTATATTTGCTGTCTTGACGAGGTCCGACGAGTTATTGCTGCTACAAGCTGACGTGTTGAGAATCTTGACAGTCCGAGACGAGAGTCAACAGTATGGTAGGATGCACACCCGATAGTGAGCGGGTTGTCCAGTACCACGTCTTTTGTTGTCAGAACGTTAGCGTCGACCATACGAGTAAGCCATGCTAGCGTCCGTGTATCATCTCGAGTGCAGCATGACGCTGTGTTTGCGATGGCAGTTCTGAATCGCACCGCCCCTCATTCTTGCCAGTGAGAAAACGCCGCCGGTTGTGGGCTACTTGCAGCAAAGAATAGCAGTTGCTGACGAGTCTAGACGTCGAGTCATAGGGTAGCGAATTACAATGGGGCCGCAATGGTGTCGAAAAGGACGTCCAGGTGGCACTTGAGGCCATTGTTGTACGAGTGACGAAGGGCTGCTCGACGTGCTACCGTATTTGCTCGGTGGCTACAATGGGCTGATGAGCACGCCACGGATTTGTTGGCCTGGGCTTCCCAAAGATGGACAAGCCGTACGTTTCGTGAAACCGAGTGAGTTGGTTCACATACTTGTCTCGCTCATCGTTGCCGATTTCGGCTGTCTATGCTTTTTCTTGGCAATTGCCTGTCACACTCTGTCGTAACTAGCAGTGTACAATGCAATTCTTCGTCCCAATTGCACAGACCTATCCTTCCCCTTCGTAGCGTTGTCGGACATGTACAACATGTCTGGGTACTTGTGAGAATACGCTTCAAGGCGTTACATCTTGCTACCTTCTACTTTGTGCTATTCAAAAACTACGAAAGAAAGCCAAAAGAACACGGGATGGTTTTGTGACCAGCGTCACGTTGTGTGGTAAACAGATGAAGACGAGGTCGCACTGTCAAGCTGTCCAGCCCTGGTTATACGGTGTAAGATCAAGTCAATAAACTTTACATCTCGTCAAATCATGAAAAGCTCTTCTCATCGTTCTCGGCTGAACAAAATCAGGAGACATGTTGCATTAGAGCGCGACCTAAGTCGAAAAGTGGAGCTGTTCATCGATGACAAGCGGTTCGGCAACAATAACAGCAAGTGAATCAGCAAAAGTGTCTTGTGATGGGCAGCCCAGATAGAGAGTGGCAAGGAATACGCACACATATCCGACACACGACAAAAGCATACAGGAGACGCATGTATCTTGCAATGATGGAGTAGCTTCGTCAACATGTTCTTTTCGTTGTCATCTACTTCTGATCCCTTCGTCCATGCTGGATGAAAATGCTCGAGTTTCGTCCCCCTTTGATTACTGACCTGACCTCATACGAAGATTCTGCTGAACGCAGGGACTTTGCTGTCCCAAGTTACATGCTCATCAAACGTGTGCGACATGTATGGTCGACGGCCGAAAGCGTCGTCGACTTGTAGATGGCAGCGCTAGCGAAGAAACCTCTGTGGCTGCTGAAGCAATAGGCGGAGTGTCGTCGGAGTCAGCAACGAGCGCTGGTTACCCAGATCGCAAGTAAATTGGGATCGGATAAAGCGGAGTGTCAATGTTTTCGACTTGATCTTGATTATCTCAAGTTGTCGCAGCGCCTCCGGGTTATTGCATTATCGCCTTCCAACTCGTATCTAATCTGTACACATTTGTTGTTGGCACGTCGTGAGTATTCATCGCGAACCAATTCATATAAACAAACTGCTGGTACCCATCATTAGTTTCTTCCGAAGCTTAGCTGAGCTCCACAACGGCGGTAGCTCGCATGCATGTCAATGTCGGGTTGAAATGTCGCGACGGCCCAAGTTACAATTGGTGCCAAACTCTTTAACTTCGCTACGTCAGGTCAGATTGAAGCTATGTATGCAAAGTCCAAAGACATGCATAGCGTCCAGGAAGGGATCGAAACACACTGCTGTCGTCGGTAGCGTATGGTCATGCTTTTGACACACTGTTCCATGTGGCACCAGTGTGACTAAACGGTCATCGATATGAACCATGTGGCCACGCTGGCATCGACAGCCGACGACCTGTCGAACTCTAGACATTCGTCATGTGGTCGGACAAGGAAAGGCAGCTGAACACTTGATTGTAAAATGCGAGGTGAACAAACATATGTCGTTCGTTCGTAATCTCGTTTGCTACCTCGAAGCCCACAGGATTGTTTGACTTGACAACCTATTGTCTGGCTGAGCATTACGTATCGTCTAGTCGCAAGTTGGAAACCATAACATCGCCCATTCGTAATCTTACCAGAAATAGCCTATATCGACCGAGAACGCTTCACGTCTCGACAACACTCGGAAGAGACCCCACGAAGATGACGCGCCTCTTCGTTGTAATATTTTTACTATAGTGTAGAGATCGCCCATCTTATCGTCGATCTCGCCTCCTCGTTTGGCAGAAGCGTTTGTTATAGGGTGTGGTGTCCTACGTTTGACAAAACGCAGGCTGACGGTTGCGACGACACTTCTCGAAAGCAAAAAAGCACCATACGCGCAGTAGCCTTCTAGCGCTAGAGTGTGGACGTCGAAATGAGCACATGTGAACTGGCACACTGATACGAAGAAAACGAGATCAACAGCGAAAGTAGTAGCCCTGACAATTTCGGTGAAAAGCTGGCTCGAAGAAATAGAGATCGTAGATGACGCTGTAGAATTCCAGACTGCGGTATAAGCTGAAAAAAACAGACGCGCACGCTGCTAGAAACGTGCACTGGCATATAGTCCACCCCTCTTCCGCAAATCGCTGCAGATTGTGTAGAAGTCCGTATCCCCAAGTTGGATCGGAACGTGTGCGTGACTCTCTCGACGTTTGCGCATTGCCATCACAGACATCATTTTTTGTTTTGCTAAGAACGTAGCAACCCATACCAAGTCGACAACTCCAGCACAATGAACGTCAAGGTCTTCTGCTTCGTGGTCATCGCTGCCGTCTTATCCGGTTCGGCTCTCAGTCAGGCCGTAAACTGCCGTGGTCGTGGGTATTGCCCTGGGAAGAACGAAAACTTCTTGAGGCGTGCAAGCGCAAATTGCTACATGAGCAGCTTCCGCCGTGGGAGGGATTCGTTTGAAGAGCATTACCGCAAATGCTGCCCGGCACAGTGCGCAAAGTAATAGCAGATGCGGCCACTACTCCTGTCTCATCATCGCTTTCGGCACTCTTTTCGAATGAAAAGGGCATGGTCTTTTCGGTGAACGTTGGATGCTGCACACATCTTGCTAGCCAGCCGTTCAATCTACCGACTGGAGATAAACACTGTCTAAATATCAGAAGTCGTCATTGCTTACTGAAACTTCTCGTGTCCAATAGCCGATTGTTGCTTACGTATCGCTTCTAGTTATACCATTGTTTGTGCGGCCACCACCAACCTAGACACAGCACAAGAATGGCCGTACATGTACCGCATTGTAATCACTATAGAATCACTATCTCAGAAGTTGCTCATCTTTCGTTGTCTTTCATGAGTTGATGCAACCCGTGTCTATTCGGCATTCTTGTTGGCCAATTCAGCTTGGAAGACTGGGAAAACCCAGTCATTTGTATATTCTCACATATTGATCCGTCGTGCTGTATGTACGAGCTGCAAAATTCTCTCTTGCTTTGCAGTGATGATTCAGCAATACAAGTCAGCAGAGTGCGAACTCTTCATATTAGAAAGGTATGATACAATTGCCAGACTCATGTTGACCTACGAATGCATATATGTGAGACACGTATCACACGTCCGTCGTACTCTCTCGAGCACCCGACGCTACGAGTGATTGCCTCGTGCTTGCGGATGCCAACACCTGGACAAGATGCCATCAATACACTTTTCTTTGCAAGACGACAGTCAAATGTACGCAATATTGA